AAGGGGTAATTCGGAAATATGCGGAGCTGGTGCTTACCAGAATCAGCATTGAATTAGTCGCCCCCGGCGGTTTTTCGAGGCAGGATCCCCGCTGCTGCTGCTTAGCTGAGCGCGGCCGAGTGAGAAAGGCTCGGATACCAAGTGTTACAGGATCGAATATTTTGAGGGAAAGTTGCACTATCGATCGCTTCAAGGCGCTTTTATACTTCCAAGGTACATCAGGTAACCAAGTTTATCCTATCCAAAGGGAATAGACCCTTCTAGAAATAGAATCACCCTGCATATAGCCATGCGAGGCTATTGGCTTTAAGGGATTACGGCAGGATTACGCTAGATATAGCGCGCCAGTACATCCCGAGTCTGGTATGTGATATCATTAGAATAAGAGGATAAACCGAAAGATTATGGAAATGGAGGAAGAGGAATCCAAATGAGATCAGATAAAGATAAAATGAATCAGGACAAAAAGAGGAACGAGATAAAAAGGAAATATGGAAATGAGAAAGAAGTAGAACGAGGTCGTACTCTCACAGAGGTTGCAGGTGCTGCAGAATTAGGTGGCGGACCCTGAGCCTCAGGGCCCCCTGAGTTAGCAGACTCCTCCGCCGGGCCAACTGAGGGAAGGGGAGTGACGTAAGACACATCAGATGGGCCAGGATAGGGAGGGGGAGCTACTGTGAGAGTGGGGACAAGGAACAGAGGCAGGGTGAGCGGGAGACCTCTGTAGGGAAAACGGGTGTAGAAAGTGACAAACTCGTCAAAGGTGACGTCACGCGAGTGAAAGAAACGGTGAGACGGCGGGTGGTAAAAGTGCCAGTCAGATGCGTCTAGGGGGAAGCCAAGGAAGACACAAGGGGCAATGTGGGCAGTAGGCTTGTCCGTGGGAGAGTCGCGGACATGAGCTAGGCAGCCCCGGATGTGAAACGCAGACGCGTCACCGGGGGACCCGGTCCCGAGGAGGGTCGGCGAAACCTACAACTGCTGGGAGCGCGACCACATGTTAAGGTGGTGAGCAGCGTAGCGAACAATGAACTGGCACAGAAAATGGAGTGCACTGGCATAGATTATGGAGGTACGAGCTACCTCCATGACCAAAGTGATGCGTCGCTCAACGACCCCATTCTGCTGTGGGGAGTCCGGCAGGGTGTAATTCTAGGTTATGCCCTCCGCACAATAGAACTGACCAAGACGACCAAAGTCAAACTCACCGCCACGGTTGGAGTCGAGACACAGCACGGGCTGGGCACGGTGTACTCGAGCAGCTACAAGCCTCGGGATAACAACGTTAGGCAGGTCGGCCTTCCGCTCCAAGGGAAACACCGTGGTGTAGCGCGTGTAGTTGTCTATGAGCACCAGAAAATAGCGCTCGCGACGCGGCCCAAGGACGGGGGCCAGGCCCCAGACGTCCATGTGCAGGGTCTGAAGTGGCACAGTGGTGGGGTGAAACGAGGAGGAGTGAGGAGCACGGTGCAGCCGGCCCTCGATGCAAGGGGTGCATGGAGGCGCGGGCAAGGGAGGGAGGACAGGAAGTGACGCAGAGAGACCCAAGACAAGACCATGCTGGGACATGTGACGGAGACGCAGGAGGGCGGGGTGACCTAGGCAGTGGTGCCACAGCACATGAGAGCGAGCGACCGACACGAGCAAGCTGTAGCGACCTGGGTAGATGCAGCCACCTGGGGGGACACAGCCACCAGGTGGGACACGGTGTCCAGTGTGAACAGGCCAGACACCGGGTCTCAGGGGAACGTGGCGAGAGGGGCACCAGTGGCGGCCTCAGTACAAACTGCATACCGGCCATGTCCAGGAAATGTAGCGGTGATGCCAAGGGCCTGAAGACAGCCGACACCAACTAGGTTCCTAGAGAACAAGGGGTTGAGCAGACCTGTAGGGGAGCCTGAGGGAACTGCCGGACAGGGGAGAGTGGTGGAGCTACGTGCAACTACAAGTCCGGAAGAGGGCTCGACAGAGGCAAATGCTGAGGGGGCTGAAATCAACGTAACAGTGGTGTGGTCGCGAAAGAAGCAGGCAGACGCACCAGAGTCCAGCGTGAAGGAGAGTGCGGCGATAGGCTCAGCCGGCTAGGGCGCAAGCGTGGAGCCAAGTCAAAACAAGGCAGGAGGGCCTACGCCCGATGTATCAGGGAAGCCCAGACTACACACGACGGACACACCTACGCTAGGCAACAGAGGGTAATAGTGTCCACTAACACTAGATTCATCAGCATACATGGCATACAAAACAGAGCTCATCTGATCCATGTCCATCGCAAAGACTGGCACACGACGACGTACGAGGCTAGGCCAATCTGGGAGGTCCGGCGCAGGCCCAAAGCGGAGACGGAAAAGGTCGTCGAGGCGGCGGTAGCAATGGGCGGCGGTGTGACCGGGACAGACACACATGGTGCCACGAAGGGGACCAAACTGGAGCGGGTACTGGCAACGCACAGAGAGGAAGCCGCCACCCGACGTCGAGCTCCGATGGCCGCCACCGCGGCCGCCACCACCAAAGCCACCGGGCCACCACGGCAGGGGGGGTCCCCATGGCTGCCGCTACTGCTGTTGCTGGGGCTGTTGCTGTTGCTATTGCTGCTGTTGCTGCTTCTTCTGCTGCTGCTCTGGGGCGTCAGCCCCCGCCCCCTCGTCTGCACCACCCGCGCTCGCACCACCCCCAAAGTCCCCGCCACCCCCGCCACCCCTCCCTCCCCCTCGCCCTACTCCGGGTTGGCGTTCCTTACCTTGACGAGGCTGTGCTGAGGCCGCCACGGCGTTCTCAGCGCCAGGGACTGTCTCAGCGATAGCAGCAAAAACGTCAAAGTAAGTGCACTAGGAGGGACCACAGCCCTGGAAGATCGGGACTGCTGCAGTACCGCTAGACTGAGCAATAGTGCGGTAACGAGTCTCTATCGCAGACAGGGTGGTGACAAAGTCGGGAAGGGTGAGGTCAGCAGGGTCAAGACTAAGGAAGTCATCGCGGGCAATGGCTAGGCAGTCAAAAAGGTGCGTGGCTAGGAAGGAAATGGTAGAGCCAATGGGGGAGAGGCAGTACAGTGAGCTAGAGCTTAGTGCTAGCAGCGCGGTAGCTAGTCTCAAGTGCACGTAGGTGGGTGGCAAGATCAGCTACAACAGGGAAGGAAGCGAGGTCAGGGAAGAGCAGGGTCAAGAGGAGACGGCCAGCAGAGGCAGAGGAGGGAGTGGAATAGCGAGCAATGATTGCATCTAGGTACTCCTTCGCAGTCTCTATGGCCTGAAAGCGAGGACGCTCGAACAGTGGGAGACACTGAATGATAGCAATCTGCGCGACGGCGTCACGCGACTCCCAAACAGAGCGGGCGAGCTCAGCAGTTGTAAAAGCCTCACGCACGGCAGGCATGGGGAGGGCAGCAGGCGCAGGGGGGCAGGGCAGCTTGCCATTGACATGGACGGCCAAGTACTGGTCATCCTGACGTTGACCCTTCAATTGGTGGCGCAGGTCGCCGAGCCACACCTTTAAGTAAACAGCCCGACCCTCCGCGTCCAGGCAGAGAACGGCGTCCGCCATCACGCACAGCTATAGCAGTTGAGGAACCTCGGAGGAGGAGGAGGAGGAGGAGGAGGAGGAGGAGGAGGAGGAGGAGGAGGAGGAGGAGGAGGAGGAGGAGGAGGAGGAGGAGGAGGAGGAGGAGGAGCAGGCAGGTGCGGTGGAGAGCAGTGGGGTGGGGTGGAGTGCGGTGGAGAGCGGTAGAGTGCAGTGGGGTTCGGTAGTGTGCGGTGGAGTGCGGTGAAGCAGCGAGAGAGGTGACAGCCGGCAGGAGCGCCGGCTCAGAGGGCAACCAGGGCTGGCGGCGTGGAGGGGGCCGGCAAGGGGAGTTGGGGCGGCATTGCAGTCCGGGGCTGGCAGCACGCTGGGGCGGACGGCGAGCCGAGGCGGCACGGCGAGCTAGGGCCGGAGGCGAGCCAAGGCGGCGCGGCGAGCTGGGGCCGGCAGCGAGCGGGGGCCGGTGGCGAATTGGGACCGGCGGCGAGCTGGGACCGCGCGACGAGCTGGGGCTGCGCAGCGAGCTGGGGCCGGCAGCAAGCTGGGAGCCGCAGCAAACTGGGGCCGGCGGCGAGCTGGGGCCGGCGGCGAGCTGGGACCGCACAGCGAGCTGGGGCTGCGCGGCGAGCTGGGGCCGGCAGCGAGCTGGGAGCCGCGGCGAACTGGGGCCGGCGGCGAGCTGAGGCCGGCAGCGAGCTGGGGGTGCGGGGCGAGCTGGGGATGGTGGCGAGCTGGGGGCCGCGGCGAGCTGTGGGCCCTGGCGAGCTGGGGCTGGCGGCGAGCTTGGGCCGGCGGCGAGCTGGAGGGTCGTGGCGAGCTGGGGGGCGCGGCGAGCTGGGGCCGGTGGCGAGCTGGGGGCCGCGGCAAGCTGGGGCTTGCAGCGAGCTGAGGCCGTCGCAGCGAGCTAGGGCCGCGTGGCAAGACGGGGCCGTGCGACGAGCGGGGGCCGTCGCGGCAGGCTATGGCGCCGCGGCAGGAGGTGGCCGACACAGCGGGCTGGGCCAGCGCGGCAGCTAGGGGTGGGCTCGACAGCTAGGGGCCTGCGCGGTAGCTAGGGGCCAGCGCGGCAGCTAAGGGCACGCGCGCCGCGCGGCACGGCAAGCTGAGGGCCGACGCACCACGGCAGGCTAGGGCTAGGAACGGGCGCTCTATGGTAGGCTAGGGTGGAAGCATGGGTAGGTGGGACCTGGTACTTAGCATGATACCGTCTCACAGTAATGAAGTGACTAGAACATGGCAGTACAGGAGAGATATAGGGTTGGTGTTGTACCCTCTAAGAAGACAACCTTGTCTAGCCTATAACTTCTACATATAATGCAAATGTATAAGTTGACAGCGGCTGCAGTTGCCCTCAGCACAAGTCGTACGGGACCTCGAATGCCTGCAGAATGAGACGATGCCTTTGGTCCGCTCAATTGGGTTCTCAAATGAGTGCTCTTCTCAAAGTTGCAACCTGCCGGTCGGGCGCTAATTTTTCAATTTTAGAGTGGTATTTCTTTTTGTTCTCCTCTCAAATGTCCGAGAGATACGGCAGAACTATACAAAACCATTCACGCAATACACAAGACATGCCCTTATTTCCACCAAGCCTGCACTCGGGCAATTTATTCGCCGGCCAACTACACATCAATGAGAGCACCTGTAAGGTCCAGTCATGATGCCAAATGCCTGAAGTCAATCTTAATAGGCACCTCAATCCTCGCATGAGTGAATCTTTGGCATCAGCCTGCCAGTCTGGCAGCCAGACGACTGTCTCCAGCCCTCCCTGCTCTGCCCGCACACTGCAGCCTCCACCAGTAAGCCATCCTCTTCCATGCCTCCCGTAACCCCCACGCCCCCATCTCAAGCACTCTGTAAGTTGATGCACCTCAATCCTCACATGTGTTTTTGTTATCTGCTTGCCAGTCCGGCAGCCAGTCCAGCGTCTCCAGCCCGCCCTGCTCTGCCAGCCATGCAGCTGCCTCCACAAGCAACTCATCCTCCCCTGCCCCAGCCACTTCGCACCCTGCGATTTCCATCCTCGTGAACTTCGCTGTAGGGTTTTGCGCAGCAGGGCTACACAACTCAGGGTTGAGCACCCCAGCGTTACACGTCACAGGGTTTCGGAAAGCAGAATCGCCAGCAGCAGACTCGCAAGCAGGAGAATTACCGGCATACCTAGTCACAAAGCTGTTGGTTCCTCCAACGGTGGGATAGCTAGCATCCTGCTGCAGACCTGATTTCTCCTGCGACTCTTCTGTGTATGACTGCGCACCAAAATCTGCCTGAGGAGATTCTGCAGCTGACATCTGGGGAAGGTGTAACTGCTGGCCGAGGGGAGGAGCAGTGTATGCAAATTGTGTGTGGTAGGCACTGCTGCATGGCCCAATGTTAGTGGTCAAAGGAGGTAACAGGGGCTCTGGAAGCGTATCTACAGGCCCTGGCGTTGCCTGCTGCACCGGAGTTTCAGACTGCCCTTGCACAAAAGTGTCGGGCATCATTTGAGGCGCCATCTGCTGCTGTAGTGGCAGCAACTGCTGCTGCTGCTGCTGTAGTGGCAGCAGCAGCTCCTGCTGCTGCTGCTGCTGCTGCTGCTGCTGCCAGCCCTCTCCTTGGAATTGTTTCTGAGGCGCCTCAAATTTCATCTGAAGTACCCTCGTCTGAAGATGCTGCTGGCGCTGCTGCTGTTGCTGCTGCTGCTGCTGCTGCTGCTGCCCCCGCCGCCGCCGCTGCTGCTGCTGCTGCTGCTGCTGCTGCTGTTGCCCAGCCTCCCCTTGCGACTGCCGGCAGCAGCATGTGCAGCACGGTGCTGCCAAAGTAGGCAGCTCAAGAGTGGACGGCGCCACTGCAACAGGCGGAAGCACTCCAACGGGCTGTCCCCCATTCTGCGGCACAGCAAGAGGTGAGGTGCAATGCGGCGCTGGTTGTGGCGATGCAACTGTGCCACAATGCGGCACTGCTGCTGGATAAGGGGTGTGGGGCGAGATAGGAGCCAGAGGAGGGGACAGAAAGGGGAGGGTCTGGTTCAACGTCTGCATCTGCATCTGCGTTTGATTGTGAGTTTGCTTTTGAGCCACTGCAGCGTGTGTGTGTGGCTGTGAGCCGTGCAGCAGCTGACGTGGCACCAGATCCTCCAACAGCCCCTGCAGCTGATGTGGCGCTGAGTCATACTCGTGGCAATTTGCCTCAGTAGTGTGCATCCACGGGGTTTTCTGAGGCGCCTCAAATCCCTGAGGCACAATTTCAGCCACAGAAATCCGGTTCTGCAGGGGGGCAAATTCCACAGCCCCACCCGCATTGGTGGTGCTGCTGCTCCTGCTGATGTTTGTGCCACCAGTCATCACATTGCCACACATGTCACTCCCACCTCCACCGTCTTTAGTCATAGCCCCGCCGTACGCGTTCCTCTCACTGCTCCAGTTGTAACCAGTATTGTAGTTACCAGCGTAGTGGTTACCAGACTTGTTGTTACCAGCGTTGGCTCCAGCGTTGTTGCTGCAGCTGCTGCCGCTGCTCATGCAGCTGCTGTGGCTGGGGGGGCTTGAAGAGAGGTCCGCGCGATTGAGGTTCGCTCGGAGCACGCTGAGCAGCAGAGAGTGAGATTCGCCTCCTGGCATGATGCTTGATGGGGGTGGTGAAACCATGGGAGTATCGGCACCAAGTGTAACGGCACCAACGGGAGCACCATTGGCAACAGTGGAAACAGCCAAATGGGCTAACGAAGAGAGCAGGTTGAGTGGCTGCTGCTGCTGCTCCTGCTGCTGCTGATGGTACTGATGCTGTTGCTGCAGTTGCTGCAGTGGCTGTTGCTGGTGCTGGTGAGCATACCAGTGTTGCTTCTGCTGCTGCTGCTGCTGCTGCTGCTGCTGCTGCTGCTGCTGCCGTCCAGCATCCGTCCAGCCCTGCTGGTCCCCCGGCTTATCGTTCCACAGAGAGCAGCGATCAGCAGGAGGCGAGACACTCATCTCACACGGCTTGGGAGGCGGGGAGGAGCCAAAGGCGTGAGGGGCAAGAGGCGCATGAGAGGCATGAAACACACGGGTGGCTTGGAATGTGTGGGACGTTGGCAATGCATGGGAGGCATCGAAGTCATGCGAAGCACGACGGACACGAGGGGAATGCGAGGCATGCGAGGGAATGCACGGGTCAGAGAGCAGGGAGTCGTCTTCTCTTGACCGCTTTCCCAGGGAGGGTGATGTGGACGTGGGTGAGAGCTGCTGGGTCAGACAGCACGGGGCGGAGTTGGACTGGTGCGCTGCTCCACACTCGTCTTGCTGCTGCTGCTTCTGCTGCTGCTGTGTTGGTTGTGTTGCGAGCATTGCTCCCGGGAGCCGCAAAGGGCCGGGATTCACATAGCCGCATGGCGCACTGACATGCTGATGCTGCTGCTGCTGCTGTGCAAAGTGCTGCAAGTGCTGCTGCAACAGATGCTGCGGCTGGGGCTGCGGATGTAGCTGCTGCTTCAACCACTCGTTCTCGGTTATACCACATCCACCTTGCACGTCATCGCCACTCTCTGCAGCAGCCGCAGATGTTTCGATCGCCGGCTCGACTGGTGCTGCTGACACCGCAAGCCGGAGGCTGATGGGCATGTCAGAGTGGTTGTGCTTGTTCAGGTATGTCACCCGAAAGAGCAGGATCGACGCAGGGGCCTTGCCACCTGCCTGGCTCTGCGCTGGCAAGTCACTGCCGGGCGGCGGCTGCGCGCCAGGGGTGCAAGGCACTAGCTGCCAGTCGACGCGCTTGCGAGCTGGACACGGCTGGAAGACAGAGGGGGGAGGGGCCGTGGGGGGATCGGTGGCGGTGCCTGCAGCAGCGGCAGCAGGAGAGGCGTCTGGCGCCACGGCAGCAGCGGCATCAACGGGATCAGCCTTGGATTGAGTGTCAGCATCAGGAGCTTCTGGCGCTGCAGCAGCGGTATCAGCAGGAGTATCAGCAGCGGTATCAGCAGCGGTGGCAGCAGCGGTATCAGCAGCGGTGGCAGCAGCGGTATCAGCAGCGGTGGCAGCAGCAGCAGCACCAGGAGCACCAGCATCAGGAGCCACAGCAGCAGCAGGAGGCAGCTGCTCCGTCGATACGGAAGGTGATGCCGGTGATGACGGCGCTGCTGCTGGTGCTGCTGGTGGTTCTGCTGCTGTTGGTACTGGTGCTGCTGAAGATGCCGCTGGTGATGCTCCTGTGTCGTCCTGGTCGCTTGTGTCGCTGGCGGGCTGGGCAATGCACGTGGACTGCGCACAGCGGAAGTAGGACCTGCAGCAGGGGAGGAGGAGAGCAGGGTGACAGGAGGGGGAGATCTGCTTTAGCTTCGACTCAACAGCGGGCTTGTGTCGCTGGCGGGCTGGGCAATGCACGTGGAGCCAGCACAGCGGAAGTAGGTCCTGCAGAGGGGAGAGCAGGGGGGAGGAGTGGGCGTTGGAAGCGGAACGGGACGAGTCTGGCTGAGAGCCGACTCAACAGCAGGCTTGGGTTGCTGGCAGGCTTGGAATGCAGGAGCGAGCACAGCGGAAGTAGGACCGGAGGAGGCGGGTGGGAGCTGGGGGGCGGGAGGAGACATGACATGACGAGGGGATGAGAAGCAATGGGAAGTGCCAAGGCGTAACAGAAGAGAAAGGGGAGGTCACAGGGGTACGGGGCCTAGAAGGGAGGAGGTAGGCGCATTGCTGTAATGCGCACAGCTGCCTCCACTGCATTGCAATGCTTTGAAGCCTCAACGCCTTCAAATGGCCGCGCTGCATGCTGCCAGCTTCAGGCTGCAGGCGGCTGCTGCATGCTGCATGCTGCAGCTGTGCTGTGCTGGGGCTGAACCCTTCAGTAGTTGCAGCTGCGCTCTGAGGGGGCATCGAACTAACCTCAATGCAGGGTAACGTCACCATCATTGAAAGCAGGTTCAACATACCTGTGGCAGTTGGATTTCACGAGCCTCTTCTCCCCATATTTCAGCCAGCAGTGCCCATCATCCGCCATCACCTCCTGCGGCACGCGCTTCAGCTGCTCCGAGGTCACCACCGCCCACTGCGGGAACTGCGCCGTACCCTGACCCGCCGCACTGCGCGCTGCCGGCACCGCCGCCACCACGGCCGCATAGCTCCTCATGGTCGTGGCCGCTGCATACTTGCCGCCCTGGGGCAGCCCGCCAGGCAGATTCGCTGTGACGGTGTTACCAAAGGTTTTACTAAGATCCGTGCCGCACCCAGCAGTACTAGGACCACCAGCTGGGGTAGTAGCAGGATGCCTCGGCGCCAAGTGACTGCCGGTTGCAGGGGTGGGAGCACTTGCGGCGGTAGCCCCAGTGTGGTTGTGGTTGCTGCCGCGCCTGGGTGTCATCATCGTAGCGGCCGTTGGAAGACCCACAGCCATAAAAACAACAGCCTCTACTACTAGCAGTACTAGAGGAGCCGAGTGGTTGTGGTGGTACCACCGATCGCCGCTGAGTGCGATTCAGATGTCACTCTCACTGAGACTGAGAGAACTTCGCCAGAATCCGACGCAGAGGAAGAGTCTGAGACTCTCTTAGGAGTGGTTCAGATGTCAGACAGACGATCATCTAGTGCCGCCTCATCTTAGGAACCCCTCGAGATCTTCTTGAGGTCTTAGCATATCCATACGTTGCGCGTTTGCATCCAGGCCAGACCAGGTGGTTGAGAATCTAAGAGCACTCAGCTAGAAGTGCTCGCCGCAGCAGACTGTTATGGGTGAAACGTGGGAGGAGCTACTAGTAGTACTACTAGTCGTAGTAGTAGCCGCGTTACAGTAGAGGCGACCCGCGTCTGTGAAGGGTCCGGGCTCGCCGCGTCTGCGCCACTACTAGGGAAAGAGCGGGTCGCCGCCGCATGACTCACTTCCGCAGGGGGAGGAAGGGGGGGGAAGCGGGGGGGCGGGAGGGAGAGAAACTCTTGGCGAAACCACGCCGTGCCGGGCCGCGTCAAGTTTTGAAAGGTGGGAGTCGGAGAAACCGCGTCGGAATGTCGACTAGAGTAGAAGTGTTACTACCAACCAGTAGCAAGCTTGAGGCTTTCAGCGAGTGACTAGTAGTAGTCCGCGTAGCATTGTGATCGCGTGACTCATGAGGCGTCAAAACCGCGTTGAGATCACCATAACCTCTGGTCCGGGTCTGGCAGCTTTCCGCAAGTAGTAGCTGGCGAAGTCCAAGAAGCAAATGATAGCTGACTTGATTTCCCGAGAAAATTAAACGCGGTTCTCCCTTCAAGTTGGGGGTGAAACTGCGTGGTGGTGAGGTGACTCGTCGTGAGCCAGCCAGCCTGGGTCAAACTTCTTCGCTAGGACTACTGTTCTGTTCTGCGCCGCTTCATGCGATGAAGAGCAGACCAGCCACTGCGTAGCTACCAGGTGCCAGCCAGGCAGCGAGAGCGAGAGCGAGCGAGCGAACGAAAGAGAGTACAACTAGACAGCAAATCTGTCCTTTTCGGAGTCCCTTCACGAGGTGTGCGCCGGAACCGGAAAATCTAGACAGACTCTAGAGGACAAGCCACGCGATACAACTCCAGGCCCTCGGACTATGGTGTTCGGAGCGGAGCAGTTGAGAGCGGAGCAGAGCCCCGCGCCTAGTACGGGCGGAGGAGCCAACAGGTGCAGATCCGATTCTGGCCTGTCGTCGAGTTGAAGGAAAGACGGGCCAGGGGGAGGGGGAAGGGGAGGAAGGAGGAAAGGGGAAGGGTGGGGGTGGGTGGGAGTGGGGGTGGGAGGGGAAGGGGGGAAGATGGGGAAGTGGGGAGGGGGGGGTGGAGGGGCTTGCTGCAAGGAGCGAAGTTCTGAGAACGAGTCGAGCAGAGGCCATTCTGCCCTGCTTTCCTCATTGTGAGGAACAAATGAAAACGGCGAGCAGAGGAGGACGGGGAGGGGAAAGCTTGAGTGCTTTCGAGTTGGAGAGGCGGTGTAGCGTACAGTATTGTCTCTGTGGAAGGGCCTATTTTTCAAGGGTAATTACCCAGAACGAAAAAAACTTCAGAGTTGGCACTGGGCTCGTTCTGGAATGAGAACGGGTAGAGTTATCGGGGTTTCCGGAATTTATAGGAGTGGTGTTGCGGGGGGCTCCGGGCATATCAGAATTCGTAGGGGGGGCAATCCGGATGCACCTGCCAAGAAGTACCCCCCCCCCCCCCCCCTTCCTCGCACTGGGGGTGGCAGAGACATTTTTCCGGCGAAGTCCCAAACATCCAGAAACAATCCCAACTGATGGATCCCCCAAACCCAGGGAATTCGACTAAGTCCCTCACAAACAGTTATAACTCCTCCCACACCCGCACAACTCAGAAATTCGGCTAAGTCTCCAACTTCCAGCAGCATTCCTTCCTGCACCCCGCAACCAAGCAAAAATGGCTAAGTCCCCCCAAACACAAACATACCGTGCTCCTCCCATCCGCACCACCTGAAACCCAAAAATTTTGACTAAGTCTATCACAGCCAGGAACATTCCTTCCTTGGCCCTAGAGGAAATTGGCGAAGTTCCTCCCAAGCAGAGACTCCTCTCACCCACACCCAAGAAACTTCCTGCCTCACAGCAGGAATATTCCTGCCTAATCCTGTAACCTAGAGATTTTGGCTTAAGTCTCCCGTGCACAGAGATACTCCTCTCACTCATACCATTCTAAGCTATAATATTTGGCGTCCTTCACAGCCTGGGAAATTCCTCCATCAGCCCCCCACGCCCACGTAGCTAAGAAGATTTGACTAAAAACGTTTAGCCACACTCCCCCCCTCCCCCTTCCCGCAACCCAGAAAGGTGCAAAGATAATTGCCACAGATTCTACCCTAATTTAGCGGGTTTGCCAAGAAACTAACGAAGGAAACTATTTTTCTTGGCACGCCACAAATGTAACCCTATATGGACCTTGAACATCGTGACGTGTCCAAGTCAATGTTTGGTGCAACTCGGCTAAAAGTAATTTTGTACCCGAATCCGGACGAAACAGAAATCAACTACCCTGAGATCCGGACGAATCAAGGTGCAGGGGGTGGGGAATCCGGGAGAAACAGAGTTCGAAAAATCCTTAGCGTGAGCCCTGCTTTGTGGGCTTTCCCGCAACTGCTCCTCCTGCTCCGTCCGTCGGGAAGCTGCCACACAGTTTAGGGTTTTGGTCGGGTAGCTTCTGGCACGGTCTGTGCGTTTGCCACATGGCGCACTCCCCTTGTTATACGAATCAATCAACCCATGTTTTTGGGCGGCTGGAACTAAAAGCGTCCCCGACACTTCGCGCACCTCGCCACGAGAAGAATGGGATTGTAAGTGTATTATAATGTTACCACTTTGGAATACGCGGATGCGACAGGGGGCAGAATTTGTACTTTCCAAAATACTTGGGGGTTGAATTTGTACTTTCTGAATTTGTAGTTTCCGAAATACCCGGCGGACGAAATATGACATGCTGTCATGGTTGGCAAGTTCCGCTGTTGCCGTTGTCTTCTTTGGGAACATTGCTGGCCAAGTTCTAGAAACGGGGGTGCGGTCCGTGCTAGAAACAGCAGTGATGCGGGAAGATTTTGTGAGGGGTTTTTAGGTTAACGGTAACCCTTACTACCGTTTTATTCTCTAGGGTAATGTTTAGCCCTATTACAGAAGGGTTTTCCAATGTTCCAACCCCCGAAGGGAAAAATTTTTGTTCTTCGAGGTTAGTCTGCTCCACAGCGAACCACGCGTCACAATCTCGTTGCTCCGTCACTGTAGTTTTAACCTAGCAAAATCGCCACACCCCTCCTTGTCTTTTTGTTCCCAAACCATCCAGGGAAGTGGGTGGCTCTATAGCAAACTATTACAGCCCTACTGTTGGACCACATCACCAGATCTCCCGCCACCACGTCAGCGAACTTTACTTCCGATATCCAGCCAATAGACAACAAGATAATGTCTACTTAAAGTGTGAGACTATAATAGTGGCCCCCCTTTCTAGTTGGGCCCAACTAGAAAAGACCCAACAGTGAATATGTTTTTGGAGGGGCAGGCAGCAGCCCCCGTTTTTTACCAAGCCGTAGGCCACGAAATCGAATTGCACTTGCGACATTTCGCACTGGCGACAAATTTTACGACCATAGATTTGCGTGGTTAGCATTTCGACCAATCGGGGCCCAGCCTCAGTTTTGCTGGATTAGTAAACCCGGGTCCAACTTGAAATCCAAGTTGGGCCCACTTGGTGCAGCTTACAGGCAATGGGGGCTGGGCGACAGGTGGCGCGTTGTTTGCGAATTTGCCCGAGCCACGTTTCCCCACCTTACGACATGTTTTCCCCGCCAACCAATCAAGTAACTGCCTCTTCTCGCCCAATTTCCCCTGCTCGCATTTCTCGACTGTGTACCCTCTGCCCCGTCGCAGTTTGTCCCTTAGTCGCAAAAACTGACGTCTGGGCCTTTTCAAGCTGGACCCGCCTTCACTATTTTGACCTCTCGCTTTAAAGCGATTGGTCGAAATGCTAACTGCGCGAATCTGTGGTCGTAAAATCTGTCGCCAGTGCGAAATGTCGCAGGTGCAATTCGATTTCGTGGCCTACAGCCTGGTAAAAAACGCGGGCTGCTGCCTGCCCCTCCAAAAACATATTTACTGTTGGGTCGTTTCTAGTTGGGCCCAACTAGAAAAAGGGGTCACTATTATAACCTCTCGTTTTAATATACAATGTTTGTCTCAATCATATGGTGCATAGAAAACTAATCAAATTACCATGGTTTTGTGGATTTTTTTCCATTATTATTACAATTTACGATGAAATATAACCTTTTCGATAGATTGCAATTGTTTGCTTCGCAAAAAAAAAATCATGTGTTATGACTGACAAGACACCTAACAGCAAGTAGGGTGTGCTCGTGATATTGTCTTCCTAGTTAATTTGTGAGTTTTAAATAGAATTGAAACACAACAAATGCATTGGGTTAAGTTATCTTGGTAAAAGGGAATGCGGAAATGTGGTCTCTAAAGTCAAGGCAATTCTATGCAACAAAACTCATGCATATATGGTAAACCTGAATGTATCGACCGACGTATACCGAGAAATAAAATTAGCTGATTTGCTGGCGAGAGATCTGGTGATGTGGCCCAACAGTAGGGCAGTAACAGTTCACTGTAGAGCCACCCACCTCTTTGGATGGCTTCGGAACAAAAAGAAAATGAGGGGTGTGGCAAATTGGCCAACTTCAAACTACAGTGACAGAGCAACGAGATTGTGACATGTGGTTCGCAGTAAAGCGGACTAAGCTCAAAGAACAAAAAATTGCCCCTCAGGGGTTGCAAAAATCTATCAAGCCATTCTTCAAGGTATAAACTAGACTTGTGTCACTATTTCTGACGTTTAGTTTTTTTTCAGGATGCCCACAAAACTCAAACCCATCGGAGCCCATATGCGACTCGCGGTGCATTAAACATAAACTCGCGGTTTTGTTTGTATTTAGGGTTGACGCTACCTCAAGTCGAATATTAGGGGGATGCGGGTTTTATTTTGTTTCAGGCTGCCGTAATTGATATGTCCTTATATATACATGCTGCTGCAGGTTTTATTTTGTTTCGGGCTGCCCTAATCAACATGTTTGTATCTCAATAACGTGTTGCGGAGCTGTGCGTGAATGTAAACTGGGATGGAATCCTATACTAGATATGAAGTTTTCTCTTCAAAGTTTGGACGTTAAGTACCTATCTCTCTCGATGTTTTGAGACATCGCATTTCTAGGACACATGTCGAAAGATTTTGCCATGCGGCATCTAACTGAACAAAAAGTTGGACGCTGCTGATGAAACATTGACGGAGATGAGAAAATAGTTTCTAGATCGGAAAAATGAAGAGTAAGTGTTACCCAGCGTATAATTTCCCTTGCTCCTGCTGCTGCTGAGGAAGGGAGAGGCGGTGAATCTGGAAACTTCCCGCTCTCTCACAAAGGTCCACGTGGCACACTGAACGGGGTGGCTCACAGCACAACGCACAATCAGCCTGCTATGATCCAGTCGATGCCTGCCATCTTGCTGACGCACAGCTTCCATGTGTGGCTTTGTAGGCACGAACCGGAGTCACCTCACCTCTCCATCTGTTGGTGACGACTGGATGTGCATGGGGAAACCTAAACCGAAGGTTGATGCAGCATTTATGGCCCGGCCGTCAGACAAACCAAGCTACATCAGATTCGGTTTCCGCTTGCACAGCCGCGTGCCCTTGTCGGGTGCGCCACGCCCTCATGGGGGACAAGGAAAAGTGGAAGGGGAAGGGACCAAAAGTCCAAGTTTGAACTCAGAAGCGACAAAATAGGGACATAAGTTAGAAGTCAGAGAAACCTAGGAGGTGCAAGTTCGAGGCACTGTATGTCGTTTGCAGGTCAAAATTTTGAAGTGTGCGAGGCTGGACGAAGGTCGCCGATGGATGTCGTTGGGCACTTTGGACACGTCCTTAGCGACGGCTGCGCGTGCCTGTACATGGCGAACGATTGGCTGGCGACAGCTACGCTTGCTTGCACACGGCAAACGATTGGTTGACGCTAGTGGCGGCTGATAGGACAAGATTCTTACACCCTATCAGCATGCCAAAAGTGATGCCAGCTGGCACCCAGATTCAAGGTGAAAATATCCGTTTGGCAGAGCTGTGAACTGTTAGTTTCATCAATAAATGGTGAAGCACAAAGTGTATGTAATATGTCAGAATGTAAAAGTTAGGTTACTGTTATATTGTTTGTACGGAATATTCCATTCCTTAGCGTTCCACACTGCTAACGCGTACACCAACCCCACACGGCACCGACATCCGCCCTAGCTTCGGCCCGAACACGACACCGAACCATTTCTGCATCACTCCGAAGCGCTCCACGTCCTCAGGTGCCTTCTTCGAACATGTTCGATCAAATGGCTAGGATGTCAACTTATACATATGCTTATACGTAGAAGTTATAGGCTAGCTGGCGTTGTGCCCTTAGAGAGTAGATCACAACTCATATATATCATGTACGCTCATGTTTCTAATACATTCAGTCATAACATGGTACAGTATCTCGAGTAGGTAGGTCCTCGCGCCCGCTTCTGTCCCTAGCCCTAGCCTACCCGCCTCGCTGGCCCCTAGCTAGCCGGTCAGCCCCTAGCACGCGCGTCGGCCCCTCGCGCCCGTTGGCCCCCTAGCTCCCGTCGGCCCCTAGCGCCCGCTAGCCTCTCGCGCCCACGGCCCCTTGTGCCCTTCGGCCCCTCGAACCTGTCGGCCCCTAGCGCCCGCCGGCCCCTCGCGCCCGCTAGCCCCTCGCGCCCACCAGCCCCTCGCGCCCGTCGACCCCTAGCGCTCGCTAGCCCCTCGCGCCCACCGGCCCCTCGTACCTTTCGGCCCCTCGCTCCTGTCGGCCCCTAGCGCCCACCGGCCCCTCGCGCCCGCTAGCCCCTCGCGCCTGTCGGCCCTCAGCGCTCCCGTTGGCCCCTAGCTTCCGTCAACCCCTAGCGCCCGGTAGCCCCTCGCGCCCACCGGCCCCTCGTGCCCATCGGCCTTTCGCTCCTGTCGACCTCTAGCGCCCGCCGGACTCCCGCGCCCGCTAGCACCTCGCGCCCACCGGCCCCACGCTCCCATCGGCCCCCAGCGCCCGCTAGCCCCTCGCGCCCACCGGCCCATCGGACCTTTCGGTCCCTCGCTCCTGTCGGCCCCTAGCGCCTGCCGGCCCCTCGCGCCCACTAGCCCCTCGTGCCCACCGGCCCCACGATCCTGTCGGCCCCTAGCGCCCGCTAGCCCCTCGCGCCCACCGGCCCCTCGTGCCCTTCGGCCCCTCGCGCCTGCCGGCCCCTAACGCGCGCTGGCCCCTCGCGCCCATAGGCCTCCTAGCTCCTCCCGTCCCCTCAAGCTCAACGGCCCCTCGCTCCTGCTGGCCCCTCGTGCTCCAGTCGGCCCCCCTTGCGCCCTTGTCGGCCCTTTGCGACGTCGCCGCCCCTCGAGCTCGTGGTGCCCCCCCCCTTGCGCCCCGTCGGCCTGGCCCCCTGCGCCTCGTCATGTGCGCCACGTATCTGGAGCGTCCTACTGCCGTGTTCCTACGTCGCAGTGTCACTTACTAGCTGTGCCGCTGTGGAGCCGTAGCGTCCTGCCGCTGTGCCGCTGTGGAGCCGGAGCATCCTGCCGCTGTGCCGTTGTGGAGTTGTGTCCCTGACCCTGCACGATGGTGGACTTCATCATCCGCCTGGACGTCGAGGGCCACGCGATCGACTTCGCTGCCTGGCTTGTCGATCTCTGCCATCACCTTACAGGTTTGCGCCAGGATGGGCACTCCCTGGTTGTGCATGTTGATGGCTTGCTGCCCCGCCCCCACGCGCCTGATCCTCTCCCTGGTGACCCCACCTCTGCTGAGCGTGAGGCCTTCTCTGCCGCTGTGCTAGACCGCGCCTTCTGAGATTAGTCATGCTGTAGTGTTGCTTGCTATTAGTCATGCTCTCCCTGTGCGTGATCGTCCGCGTTTCACTACTGTCGCGAACGCCAAGGATTTCTTAGACGATGCTGTTGCTTGTTATTCCATGCCTACCTCTACCCCATGCATTTCCGCGACCTAGTTGCCTTTCCCACTGTTGCAGACCTGGCCGCTCACCTCCGCACACTAGAGTCTCGCTATCGCACTGCTAGCATTGCCGCCCAGCTTACTGCGCTCCCCCCACCGTTTTGCATCACCCTGTACCTTATCGTCATGCGCCTACCTGACCGCCTAGCTAGTGCGTGCGACCAGTTCCTTAGCCAGCACCCGTGTGATCTCACCCTGACCGCCTTTGTCACCGCCCTGTCTGAGAAAAAGACTCGCCAGCACACTATCGCTCAGTCAAGCAGATGACTACTGCTCGCTCAGTCGCAAGACGGGAAGAAAGAAGATGAGGATGGAAAGAACCACAGCAACAAGATCGTATTGCATGAACAACATCATACCCTACCAACGCAATGACTGCTGGAGAGGGAGGGGACTGCGAAAATGTGTTGGTTCCTGCTTGCCTTGAACTATTGATTTTGGTGATGCCTTGCTCTTAATCACATTTCCTGCTGCTCTTTGTGCTGCTCTTCTCTTTGAGTCTCGTCTCCATAGAAGCACGAGTAATGGCAAGGAAAGAGCAACCGTAACTACAACCACGATTATGGCGATGCCTATTGGAGTCAATCCACTACCACTCGACTTTTTAGACTGTTTGTCTGAGACGGAAAAAAAGGGTTGAACGAGGAGGGGGGGGAGGAATATCACATTTGACTATTATGCTGTTTGAGGAAACTACTGTGTGCAATGGAACTGTGATGCAATAGAGGCAAAGGCAATAGAAGCGAAGGCAGTGGGTGTTAACCTGATAAGCTCGTGCTATTGAGGCAATTGTTGCAGAACGACGAGCGCAGCTTGCAGAAAGCATTGGATGGAGTCAGTGTGTATCCATAATAGTAGTCAGTCGGACAATGTAAATCAGTTCCAGATATGTTCCTGCATGTGCAGATCATGTAACCATGCCTGGAAATGTGTTCCATGCACAGGTTATAAGCCGATTCCTTTCACGAAATGCCATAAGGATGGTTTGTGCGAATGAGAAATTTAACTCTACGAAGAGTGCTGATGGTTTAATTTTGATCCTACGAATAACGTCTTACAGGTACGTTACGAAGTAACGTTGAGTATGATACTTCAACTTACAAGTACAAAAGACCGGCGAGCATGCCAAGTACTCGAGAAAGGGGCCCTGACAAATTGGTCTGCTGAACATCACTGTTACCCCAGTGAAATTAACAAAAGAAAATGCAACATGTATTGAGCGACGCTGTACAGAAACATGATGTGATAGCCAGTGAGGTTCGATAATATTGATTCTATGCTACACAGTAAAAATCACTTTGTGCAAGACAACTTTTAGACGGTTTGAAATCTTACAGGCATCTCAAGTTGTGAAGATTATACATGGTGTCGCCTAAAAGACCTCCCGAGATGAAGTTGTACTGTAGCTAAGGTCCCTTCACTCATGAAGAGACGGAAGAGGGTAAAGGAAAGAGGAAAGCAAGCAAGAGGGTATTGGAGTTAGAGGGCTAAGTCATATAAAGAATAGAAGAGAAGCTCGCTGGAACTAGAATATAACTATAGCCAGCTGCACACAATCGAAGGTGGTTAAGAAATGCTGAAGCACGGCAGAAGCAAGAGAAGGCTGATGAAGGCGGATGAAGGCGGATGAAGGCTGATGAAGTCTGATGAAGGCTGATGAAGGCCGATGAAGGCGGGTGAGAAGGTCAGATCCATGTGAACAAGATATTTTCTAACTTAAATACATGGAACGGCAGATCCATGTTCTAACCTACAAGGCTTGTGAACGGTATAGATCCATGTTCTACAAGTCTGCTGCCACGTATGCCTGCCACTGCCAAGCGGCACAGGGGAGTGAAGGGCGAACATGAGTCAAGAAGAGGGGAGGCGTAGGATGAGGAGAAGACAAGACAGAATGGCACCAGTGAGGCTGAACGAGCATGCACTCTAAGGTGGGCTCCCGTTTCCTCTGCACATGACTTTACCAGTCACCATACTCCGCTCACCAGTCACCATACTCCGCTCACCAGTCACCATACTCCGCTCACCAGTCACCACCTCATCAATCGTAATTCCAACCATGCCCCACGCTCTAACGTCTCAAGATTCAAAACCGTTCTTGTTAGCTTGTCAATGACTCACCGCCCTGTGAGCATCTCGATGACTCACCGCCCTGTCAGCATCTCGATGACTCACCGCCCTGTCAGCATCTCGATGACTCACCGCCCTGTCAGCATCTCGATGACTCACCGCCCTGTCAGCATCTCGATGACTCACCGCCCTGTCAGCATCTCGATGACTCACCGCCCTGTCAGCATCTCGATGACTCATCGCCCTGTCAGCATCTCGATGACTCACCGCCCTGTCAGCATCTCGATGACTCACCGCCCTGTCAGCATCTCGATGACTCACCGCCCTGTCAGCATCTCGATGACTCACCGCCCTGTCAGAATCTTGATGACTCACCGCCCTGTCAGCATCTCGATGACGGTGCACCCAACGCTCCAGATGTCGGCGCGCCTGCCGTAGCCCTCGCCCTTGATGACCTCGGGCGCCATCCAGAACACCGACCCGCGGATGCTCTTGCACCCCTCGCCCACCGTGCCCTCGTGGAAGCTCTGCCCACGGAACGGGTTGACGGGGGGGGGGGGGGGGGGGGGGGGATGCAAATGATGAGGAATGCGAGGTTGATTCACAAGAAGGCTCTGTGTCTCCATGTCTCCACATGCGGCCCCTCCATTCCAAATCCCTGAGAGAAGGACTCAAGAACTTAAGGTACATAGTGTGGAACATGTTGGACACAAGGTCAAGACACGAGCAAGAATCTGCACACGTGGGGCCATTCTGATGGTCCGTGCCAAGTCACCCAGCTTTTCCCCACTCCTACATGAATGACCCCAAGCAATGTTGCCTGTCCTAACCTCTGGGTCCAACCATGATGCGCCCTCCATCCCAGCTCGCCTCCATGTGAAGATAGCGTTGAATTCTCAGCTCTCAGGACTCAGTTGTGACTTTCGCCCTTCTCCTTACGCCCCCACCCTGCCTTTTCCCCTTCTTGAGCTCCACCCTGCCTTTCCTTCCCCTAACGCACCTTGGAGGCGCCCAAGTCGGCGAGCTTGACGCACCTTGGAGGCGCCGAAGTCGGCGAGCTTGACTCACCTTGAAGGCGCCGAAGTCGACGAGCTTGACGACGCCGTCGCGGTCGACGAGGACGTTGCCGCCCTTGATGTCGCGGTGCACGATGCGGCACGCGTGCAAATACTCCAGCCCCAGCAGCAGCTGCCGCGTGTACACGCGCACCAGCGACTCGCTAAACGCCCCAAACTTCTCCAACATGCTGGGGGGAAGGAGGGGTGGGGAGGGGGAGGGGTTGGGGGTTAGACAGAAGAAAAAACTGTGTAGAACAAGGGGATGATTAAAAGGTGCGAAATGTTTCTTCTACTGGCCGGAGTACCACAGCCAGGTGAGTAGAGCGATGCAAATGGGATGAACGATGGCAGGCAGGCAGGGCAAGCGGAGCACATGGGAAGAGGAACATTTAGAGGGGACAAGATTGCGCAATGTGTGCCGCAACACATCTGTTAAGACCTCGTGTGAGACAACCATAAACAGTTTGGAAAAAAATTCTCCCTCCCATTGAAATAGCTTTAGGACTTCATTCCAGCCACCTGCGTTCCTCTCCAGCTTGTCCCTTGTCTGTAATAGGGCCTCACCACCCCTCTCCTATGGATGCAGCCTCTCCTGTGGATGCAGCCTCACTTGTGGATGCAGCCTCTCCAGTGGATGCAGCCTCTCCAATGGATGCAGCCTCTCCTGTGGATGCAGCCTCACCTGTGGATGCAGCCTCACCTGTGGATGGAGCCTCACCTGTGGATGGAGCCTCACATGTGGATGGAGGAAGATGTAGAGACGAATTCGAGGAAGATGTAGATGGAGCCGTCCTTGGCGTCCTTCTCCATGTCAATATACCCCACGATGTGCTTGTGGCGCATCTGCTTGTACAGCACGATCTCACGCTCTAACGCCGCGATCAGCATGGTCTTCTCATCACCCGCGCAAGTGAGCTTGATCTCCTTCACCGCCATCAACTCGCCCGTCATCTCGTTCAGCCCCAGGAACACCTGCCACCACACATGCACGCACACATGCATGCACACATGCACGCACACATGCATGCACACATGGACGCACACATGCACGCCCACATGTAGCACACATGCATGCGCACATGCATGCACACATGCGCACATGCATGCACACATGCATGCGCATATGCACGCACACATGCATGCACACATGCACGCGCACATGCATGCACATATGCACATACACATGCGCGCACACATGCACGCACACATGCGTGGACACATGCACGCACACATGCATGCACACATGCGTGCACGCATGCGTGCACACATGCGCACACACATGCATGCACACATGCAGGGCACACATGCATGCACACATGCACGCACACATGCATGCACACATCCACGCACACATGCACCCACACATGCACGCACACATATACGCAGCAAGGGGGGGAAGAGGGAGAAACACATTCAGAGCCACAGTTTTTTCCAAAGGGGAAGGTGGAGGCAGAGGGAGCATGACGCTCAACCTTCACCACCTACCATGGAGTCTCCTGTGTCGGTTCCGTGGACCTTCCCGTTGAGAGAAATAGGCAGCTCCTCGTACATTCAGCATTAGGCTCCCTACCACGCGCACGGGAATCGCCTCTGCACGTGGCGTCACCCTCCGCCACGTACTGCTGCTGGCACCATCAAGGGGGAACATGAAGGTGAGGGTGAGTCAGCTGGTACATACTCGTTGGACGGGTTATCATCCATCCGTCCCAAGACAGCTAGGTAAGCCATGCACTTGAGCCGCGTCCTGTCAAGGAGTGTGTTGCCACTACCTTTCAACGCAGGCGGTTGTGACATCAGCATAGCTTTCGTAGGCGAGAAATTGACATTTTCTTTCCAGAACACTTCATCGGATGTTCGTAGTGTTTCAGCAAACTCTTTAGTGCTTCTTAGAATTGGCTTCTCCACTTCCCGAAACATGTTCAACTTTCCACATTTTCTGCGTGTTCTAGAGTAGACATGAGCACGAGGCGAGGCGAGGAATCCTCGCCAAGGAATTCCATTCCAACCATCGCCTCGCAAACGAGGCGAGGCGAGGATTCCTCGCCGAGGATTTTTGGGAAAAACTGATCCTCGATCCTCGGATTTCGGAGGCGAGGAATTCTTTCCTCGCCCCGAGGAAAAATTCCTCGATCCGAGGCGAGGATTCCTCGCCTCGAGGGGGGTGTTCCTATGAGTTTGGGGCATATTGCGAGCATCCCATTTTTCTGCACATCGCTAGTTCGACATTGAGTGTGAAGCTCTCTAACCTCCAAATTTCCCCCACCCCACCGCATTCAATCTCACAGTACCTCCGTAGCCCCAACCTAACCAATATGACATCGCTATCAAATTTGGGTTGGGATTCAAACCAAACCCAAAAAAAACCACTGCTACCGCATTCAATCTCACATCACCTCCCTAACCCAACCTAGCCAGCTTGACATTGTCAGGTTTGGACTCCAAACCTAAAAGGCTCCCCCACTTACCGCATTCAATCTCACATCACCTCCCTAACCCAAATTTTCTGCTCTACGACTAGCACTCACCAGAGATTCGTAGAGCAGAGGGGGAGCTCCAATCTGTAATTCGTAATTCCCCCACTTAGCTCCCCCGCCACTGTTCGAACCAACCATTATCCGTGTAGGAAAAGTGGCACGAGGATTTTTTCCTCGCGAGGGAAAAAATCCTCGTAAGGAAATACAATCCTCGCCAATTTTGCCCGAGATTTTCCGAGTCCTCGAATCCTCGGCGAGGCGAGGCGAGGATTCCTCGCCGAGGATTTTTTGGGAAAACCATTCCTCGAATCGCGGATTTCCTAGGCGAGGAATTCCTCGCCTCGTTGCTCATGTCTATTCTAGAGACACCGCATAAGTTTATTGCGTAGTATTCTGGACAACTAATCTTTAAAAGCTCACAAAACAGTTGACAAATAATCTTCAAAAGCTCACACAACTAGACATGAGCAAATTAAATCGCACCGCATCGCACCGCATTTATCGCGATTTTGCAATTGCGAAAAAAAAAACATCGCGCGATGTGATGATTGATTTATCGCGCTATTAAAATTAAATCGCGTTTATATCGCGCTGGAAAACGCGATTTAAACGCAATATGCGATTTTATTTAAATCGCGCACGATGTCGAAATGCATCGCAGCGCGAAATCCTGCCAGCACATGGGGAAAAATCGCAAAGCCCAAAATCGCATTTCTGAGAATCTCTTTCGCAGAATCTACTTGGGAATACGTTTCTGGGCTTTGCACACGCTCCCATGCACACGCTCCGTCACCACGTCGTCGTCACCCACCGTTCTTCGCTGTTTTTGGTGGTTGAAACTAGTAGACGGATAGATTGAGCGCCGCATTAGCTTTTTGTCGAGCTACGCCTTTCGCCATGCATTTGGCGCGTCGGCGGCGTCGTAAGGGTTTTTGCCGTGCGCCGGCTGGATTCTTGCCACGACGCACGTGCATTGCCGCTTATTGAATTGCGTAACTTATTTAGCCGCACGCTGCAGAGTTTAACGCGCGTCGCGCCTCGAAGCAGTCGCATTCGGGTTTAGGGTTTTAGTTGAGGAGTCACTTTAAAGTTTCGCGATGTGGATACTTGCAGGTGGGTTAGGCTGGTCATGTTTGGACTACACATAGTTGGCAGAATGAACCCTTCCAAGTAATTGTGGCTTAATTTCCTGAGGAAAAAAAGAGAGGAGGCAGTCTCTATCTTTCAGGGCTGTGCCCCCTCCCAGTGCACATTTGTTGACGTTTCGCCCGCGGTCGCCACAGCGACCCTACTGCCGAGACCGCTGCTGCGGTCCTCTCGCAGCAGCGCCAGCGCCGCGACCATTGCGGCTGCCAGAGAGGGCATGGTGGTAGTGCTGGTAGTGGTGGCGGCGGTGACTGTGGTTCTGCTGAGGGGGTTGTTCGGGAGCAGCAGCAGTCACCCCAGCAGCAGGAGCAGCAGCAGCAGCCGTCGCAGCAGAAGTAGCCACAGTAGCAGCCCCAGCAGCCCCAGCCGTGGGCCCGTTTCCGCCAGGGTGGCCAGGCACCTCCGGAGGTGGTAGCCGCGGTGGCGGCCCTCGCAGCTCGGCGTCTACCGGCAGCTCCGGTGCTGTGAGCTGCAAGTACCAGCTCTAAACCAAGCCCCTCCGCGACGCTCTGTGCCGCCGCCCGCACCCGACCGCCCGTTGTTTTCGCCGACTCGACGACCTCTTTCGTCGTAGTGTAGACTCCCCTGGTGCGTCCGGCGTAGGACTGTCTAGTTTGTCTAGCCTAGGCTCTGTGACTGCTCCTTCTTCGTCCTCTACTACTGCTTCGCTGTCCTTCACCCTCGACTTCGGTGCGTCTGCCTGCTTCTTCCGCGGCCGCCCTACGCTCACGCCGCTTGCTGCGCGTGCTGTTGTCGCCCTTGCTGACCCCTCTGCGTGCTGTCATCGCTCGCAGCTCCACTGCTCTTCCCTGTCCGGCGGTCCCCTCGGGCTCTCTTACCGGACTCCACGTTCCCTCGTTCTCCAAGAACGAAGTTGATGTCGGTTGTCTTCAGGACCTCAGCATCACCACTACATTCCCTGGGCACGAGCGGTACCCTGTCTGTACTGAAGTCGCCTCAAGTAGCCCCATTGCGACGTTCCGCCATTACCCGGTGTCTGGTCTGTTTACCCTCGACACCGCTTCCCCCTCCGGTTGGTGCATCCTTCGAGGTCGGTCGCTCACACACCCGTCACTTTTGTGGCACCACCGCCTAGGCCACTCTGCACTCTCGCATCTGCGTCACATGTCTCGGCACGGTCTTGTCTCAGGTCTCCCTGCGTCGCTCCTAGCCCTCTCCCCCTCGCCTGCGCCACTGTGCACGCCTTGCGTTGAGGGTCGGCTGCGCCGTGCTCCTCACTCCTCATCACTTCGCCCTGCTATTGCTCCCCTTCAGACCCTGCACCTGGACATTTGAGGTCCAGCCCTTGCCCTGGACGTTCTTATCCCATGGGTTGTGGCTGCGCGTCTTCATTGCGGTCTCCCCGTGTTGTGTCTCCGCTCTGACAGTGGCGGCGAGTTCGCCTCTGGTCGGCTTAGACAGTTGTGCCATGCGGAGGGCATCTCCCAGTTGTACACCCTACCGGACTCGCCACAGCAGAATGGAGTTGCTGAGCACCGCATCGGTTTGGTCATGGAGGTGGCTCATACCTCCATTATCCATGCCGATGCACCCCATTTTCTGTGGCCGTTCGCCGTTCTCTACGCCGCTGACCAACTTAACCTGTGGCCGCGCTCCCAGCGCCAGCAGGTTTCGCCGACCCTCCTTTTGGACCGGGTTTCCTGGTGACGCATCTGCATTCCACGACGGGGGCTACCTCGCTCACGTTCGTGCCTCTGGCACAGACAAGCTCACCGCCCGCACTGTCCCCTGTGTCTTCCTGAGATTCCCCCTTGACTCGTCTGACTGGCACTTTTACCACCCGCAGTCTCACCGCTTCTTTCACTCTCGTGACGTCACCTTTGACGAGGCTGTCTCCTTCTACCACTGCTTCCCCCACCGTGGTCTCCCAGTTTCCCCTCCCCTGTTCCTGGTTCTCACTCCCCCAGTAGCCTTTGCTCCCCCCCCTCCTCGTCCTGCTCCATCAAGTGTTTCCCAAGTCACTCCCCTCCCGTCGGTTGTCCTCATTGAGGAGTCTGTTGACTCTGGAGGTCTAGCTGCGCAGTCCTCGCCGCTTGCCTCTCCACCAGTGTCTCCTCCTCCGCTGTCGCCGTCGCCGCCGCCGCAGCAGCAGCTGCTGCTCTTGGACTCTAGGGGTGCTGGCGATGAGGAGGGTGCTAGTCCTGGGGCTGCTGTCGTAACTTGTCCCGGCGGGCATGAGGGTGACACCGGTGCTCGAGGGAGTTCTTGCTCGGGGGGTGCTCGTTCTGGGGGTGGTGATGTAGAGTGTTCCGGTGGTAGCCGTGGTGCCGCTGGCGGTCCGGGGGTCGGTGTCGCGCAGCAGCAGCAGCAGCCAAGGTCGCCGCCGGTCTCCGCCCTTCGCCTGCTCGGCCTTCCCTCCCCTGACCGCTCGACTGCGTCTCCCCCGCCCCCTCCTCCTCTTCCTGTCCACGGCCATGCGTTCCCTCCGCCGGACTCGTCTCTGGCTCGTCTTCCTCCTCATTCCCCTCTTGTGTCTCCTCCCCTGTCTCCTGACCCTACACCTCCGTCTCACGTCTGGACTCGCCGTCCCTCGCGTGCTTGTCCTGTCTCTCCTGTCTTGTGCTCTCACCCTATGTTGCTCCGTTCCCATGCGTCTCGTCCTCCCCTCCTCCCATCACCTCCTCCATCGTCCCTTGTTGTTGCCCCTCCCCTGCTGTCTGACTACCTTCGTGCCGCTCATCCCCTTGTTCCTCGGGTTCTTGCCTCTCTGGTTACCGACCCGTCTGTTCCTGTCTCCAGCCTTGACGCTCTTGTCGCTGCTGTCCCTGACTTCGCCTCTACCCACTGCCTTGACTATGCCACCGCTCTAGTCTCTGACCATGCTCGTCCTCCGTCCGTCGGGGTTGCTCCTGCCCTGTCTGAGGCCACTCCCCATCTCTGTTCCATGCCCCTAGTCCTTGAGGGTGACCTAGACGCCTTTAACATCCCGACCCCTCGCACCTACGTTTAGGTGACCTTGGGACCCTGGGCCTCTCAGTGAATAGTTGCCATGGAGCAGGAGATGGCATCTTGGAGATCCACTGAAACTTACGTCGACACAATTCCCCGCCTGGGGTGAACGCAGTCGATGGTCGTTGGCTCTTCAAGGTGAAGCGCCCCCCTGGAGAGCCGCTTGTCTTCCACGTGCGTTACGTGGCTAGAGACCTCATTCAGCGTCAGGGGGTGGACTTCTTCCAGACCTTTACCCCGACCCCGAAGATGACTACTCTTCGGGTGCTGCTACACGTAGCAGCACAGCGTGACTACGAGCTCCACTCCCTCGACTTCTCTACTGCGTTTCTTCAGGGCAGCCTACACGAGCAGGTCTACCTGCGCCGTCCATAGGGATTCACTGGTACCTTCCCTCCTAGGACCCAGTGGCTTCTCAGGCTCCTGGTCTACAGCCTTCACTAGGCTCCCCGTGAGTGGCACGACACGCTGCGTGTCACGCTAGCTGACCTGCAGTTCTTTCCGTCCTCTGCAGACCCCTCGCTCTTCGTTCGTGCTGGCCAGACTCTGTTCTGCATCCTAGTCTACGTCGATGACTTGGTCTTCACTACTGCAGACAGAAACGCACTGGCCTCTATGAAGGTAGAACTGTTGAAGAGACACACCTACACTGACCTAGGAGAACTGCGTTGCTACCTTGGCCTGCAGATCTCCAGGGACAGAGCAGCGCGCACCATCACTCTCACACAGTCACACTTGGTGCGTGCGGTTCTTCAGAGGTTCGGCCTTCTGTTCTCCTCTGCACAGCCCACGCCTCTACCTTTAGACCACAGACTCTCATCTCCAGTTCCTGAGGAGCCAGTGGAGCCCAGTTGCCCTTATGCAGAGTTGGTGGATTGCCTCATGTACCTGATGACTTGCACTCATCCAGATCTCGCATACCCTCTCAGCATCCTGGCTCGCTTTGTGGCCACTGGCAGACACCAATCACAACACTGGTTGGCCGCTAGGAGGGTTCTGCAATATCTAGCAAGTACATCGGGCATGGGGCTAGTGCTTGGAGGACGCAGGCCAGTGGTCCTTACTGGGCACACAGACGCTTCTTGGGCAGACGACGCTGAGACCCTCAGGTCGTCCCAGGGCTACTATTTTAGCCTGAGTTCGAGTGCTATTTCATGGAGGTGTACTCGCTTGTCGGCTGTTGCCCGGTCTAGCTGTGAGGCTGAGATCTACGCTGGTGCCATGGCGGCATGGGAGCTCCGTTGGCTGACCTTCTTGCTCACAGACCTATGTGAGCGGCCTAGCTCTGCCCCGGTCCCGTACGGTGACAACAGGGCCATGATTCTCCTGTGTCACGAGGCTCAACTTGAGGGCAGAGCAAAGCACATCCAGCCGTGGTACTTCCTCATGCGCGAGCTACAGTAGCAACGACAGCCCCACGTAGTTCACTTAACCTCCAGTGCCAAAACAACTGATATCTTTATGAAGGCGCTTGCGCCTAAAGATCATTAGCGGCACTGTGTTCAGCTTGTTCTTGTGCCTGTAGCTCCTCATCCGCTAGGCCCCTGAGTGTATACGCCCTTGTATATATATACATGCCTGACTGGCCTTGTGGCTTTACCTCCAGTGGCTGGACTAGTAGTGCCGCCCTTGTTTGCTCTTGTCTTGTTTGTACTCTTGCTGACTGGTCTTCGGACCCCTGCCTCAGAGGTTGGACTAGTAGTGCCGCCCTGAGTTGTGTGTTCCTCGCTGTGCACTGCCCCTATCTAGCCTAGGGGGTGTGTCAACTTATACATATGCTTATATGTAGAAGTTATAGGCTAGCTGGTGTTGTGCTCTTAGAGAGTACATCACAACTCATATATATCATGTACGCTCATGTTTCTAATTCATTCAATCATCTTAACATAGGATTGCTTTAATGTTTCTATATCTTTCTTGGTCATTCCATAGTACCACATTTTGTTATTCTAAATCTCGATATTCAATCTAGATGTTACCCTTAACACTTATAACATCTGGTATTCACAGCTTCTTTCCTGACCTACCCGCTTCCGTAGGCGGGAAACTTTTTTTTTTTTTTTTTTTTTTTTTTTTTTTTTTTTTTTTTTTCGGGAGGGGAGTGCTGTGCTCACTAAGCTGCAAAGCGGCCGGCCGCAAATTAGACGAATTAATTCGCTCGACTACGATAGCATTTGCACTTTACCCGGGCATGGGTAATCACATATATTCCCCTGCCAACCAAACATAGTGTCTGCCACATTGACTATGCATAGTTTGACGATTTGTTGGCGAAATTCGCCGCCACGGACACTTGCCTGCAAGCTGTGTTAAACGACAACGAGAAGCTTTGCGCCAAAGTTACCGAACTTTGCCAGGTGCAAGAGAATACGCGCCAAAAGTCGCCCGCCCTCGAGGATGCCGCCAGCATTGGACGTGTCGGAACGGTACTGGATGAAATCGCACGCGCAGTATTGCAGTAGCACCGTGATATTGAGGTAGAAGCAGCAACGAATGCCGCCGCGCATGCCACAGCAGCTGCAGCAGCTGCGACAATGGCCGCCGCCCACTCCAAAGCAGCAGCATCAGTCTGTGCAGCAGCCGCAGCCACACCAACTATACCAGTGACCAAGATAAAGTCGCCGATGCCGCCCCCTTTTAACCCCATTGACAAAAACACCACCATGACGGGCTGCCTTTTTACGATGGAGCTTTATTTTGATGCTGCTGGGATTATTGTTGATGATTTAAAAATCAAACAGGCTATTTCACTACTAAGGGGACCTACACTGGATTGTCGGCGATCGTCACTAAGTGAGATTGGGACTTCGACAGGAAACACTTAGGGGTTTCTCGGGAGTTCGGAATCAACCGCTTAGAACGCAATGTCAATTTTCGGAGCGACCGAGATTCGCACGTGGATAGCGTGGGATACAGCCCTGTGTAAACGTTTCGAGGCCATATCCGCCTCAGACAACGCTCGCACGAGGCTGGACACTTGGCGCCAGTTGACCTCTGTCCAGGATTATGCGTCATCATTCTAGGCACTCCGCAACCAAATCACCGACCTATCAGAAACTGAGAAAAAGAATCGGTTCATCATTGGGCTCAAATCCGACGTTAGCTACAAAGTGAGGATGCGACGCCCAGCGACGTTCCAAGAAGTCGTGGTGATCGCCGACATGTACGAAGCCAATAAAAAATATGCGAGATCAGGTTATCGGGAGGGAAATCGTTTTCATGGCCAGGATTAACGGCCTTCGATCAACGACATTGTGGCGAATGACGAAGATCGCTGGAAGCGGCAGTGTTTTCACTGCCTCCAGTCGGGTCACCGATATGCTGACTGCCTTGACCGGAAACAGAGGAAAAACACAATGGGGATAAGATGGGAAACGATTCCCATCAGTAGCATACGGGCCCCCTACTGACATGGCTGCATAACTGAAAAACATCATCTCCACCGAGTAGTGGTACCGGTACATGCTATCGACCACTCTCAGACGAATAACGGGGATGAACATGTGGATCACCCTATGTTAGTAGAATGGAAGGTTAACGGCAAAAGAGTAAAAAACTTCATCGATTGTGGCGCGAGCCACACCCTAGTTCACCGACCAACAGCTAAAAGATTAAGCTCACCCTAGGAGCAGTGTCTACCCAAGATCGACGACACCCCGCTGGCGATACGCAATCGCGCGCGAACAGTTCGCATGAACTGTGGTGGAAATTTCGGTTTCAGCACGCCGATACTGGCGATGACACTCGACGGCTGTGATGTGCAGCTGGGTCGAGATTGGTTTGATGACACAACCCGCAGATTTATTGGAAAACAGGCGAGTGCACAGTGAAGTTTGCGACTGGTCGGCAGATACTACCAAGATGGAGAGGAGCAAAGCCTTTAACGACATGCGTCAACGCCATCACATTGATACTCGTGGTCAAGAAATGCACAGACCTGTACGTCATCCATCTAAAGGAATCAACGAGCGACAATCACCCGGCCGACCACCACGTTTATACTCTGCGCAACAGTCCTCGAAGATCTGGCAAACCTGATTCGTCTGTTCCCATATATTTTTCCGGGCGATCTCCCACCTGACCTGGCGCGCAGCCAACTGTTCCGACACATTGGTGGCTGACGCAACCCGAGCTCCAAGAATTATGGGATCAGCTGGACTCTTTGCTGGCCAAGTAGTTCGTTCGATCGAGTATGTTCCCGTTTGCTGTCCCGATCCTGCTCACAACCAAGAAAGATGGGGGCCTCTGAATGTGCATTGATTATCGCGCCCTTAATCAGGTTACGATAAAGTCTTGCCTCCCAATGCCGCGTGAGGACGAACTGATTGACCAGCTGCGAGGCGCTCACTATTTCTCGAAGATCAACCTTCGTAGTGGTTACCACCAGATTCGAGTTTTCGCCAACGATTGCCACAAGACCACGTTTCGTACTCGCTACGGGAGTTGCGAATACACTGTCATGCCATCCGAGTTACAGTAATGAATGGACGATATCCTGATTTACCTTACGACACAGGAGCAGCACTTAAAGGACGTGGAAGCGGTTCTTCAGCGCCTACATGTGAATCGTCTCATCACCAAAGGCTCTAAGTCTGAGTTTTTAAAACCCGAACTGGAGTTTTAGAGGCACATTGTTTTGACAGAAGGCGTAAAGATTGACCCCCGCAAAAATCGGATGATTTAGGAATGAAAGTCACCGACCAACCTCCAGGTGCTGTTATCGTTTTTGGGGTTCGTCAATTATGTGCGACGGTTTATCCCCAACATGGCGGGGTTAACTAGGGCACTAACTGACCTACTTCATCAGTGTGTTGATTATGAGCGGGGGGGAAGCAGCAAGTTGCATTTAACGGATTTAAAAATGTTTTAATCTTGCCATCAGTACTTTGGATTGCTGACCCACAATGACTATTCAAGGTCGTGACTGACGCAAGTGACATTGCAATCGGAGCAGTTCTGCTATAGGATTTTGGTGAAGACCTTCAGCCAATCACGTACGAGTCGAATAAGTTACAATCGGCCTAACGAAGTTGTCCCGTACACGACAAAGAAATGCTAGCAATCGTGCACGCATTCACGATCTGGCGATGCTACCTGACGGGAGCCGACGTGACTGTGCGAATAGCTCACAAATTCCTACAGTACCTGTAAGCGCAGCCGAATCTCAACCCACGGCAGATTCGCAGGTTGGATTATTTGTAGTCGAACTTCATGCATCGAATCACGTACAAGAAGGGTGCCAACAACATTTGTGACGCCCTCTCTAGACCATCTGCCCAAACTGCCGCTGTACTAATCACCCAGACGAACCCGTTGCTGAGTGGACTATTTACCCACAGATATTCGACCGATCCCTTTTTCGTATACAACGGCCACCATAGGTCTCAACCGCGCAGGGAGCCTATCACATAAAAGCAGGAACAGAACGAATTTGGCTTCTGAGTTATTGTCTACTTCGTGAATTACTAATTCAAGAAGTCCAACTTATCGGGACATTTCGGGGTTGACAAGACTCTGAAGGCACTATAGTGATTTTATTACCAGCCACACATGATTTTGGACGTGCAACACGTGACAATGGATTTTGTCACCAGCCTGCCAGCCTGACAAAGTGGAAATGACGCGGTCCTTGCCGTTGTCGACCGCCTCACGAAAATGGCTCATTTCACGCCATGTCGCACGACAATTATAGCCGAAGAAACCGCGCGTCTATTCATCTCGGCCGTCATTCGCCTGCGTGGTATCATCAGCGAGAGGGACCTGAAATTCACCTCGCGCTTCTGGCAAGACACGTGGAATCGATATGACATCCGCATACAGTTCTCATCTGCCTATTTTTCCTGAATCACGGGATGGGTCCGACAGCACCCATTTCCATCAACGTCGAAAGCCAAGTCCCCCGCTCGCAGCATTTCATCAAAGACGTTCAAACCGCCCGCAGGAAAGCCATTGAATTTATCCGAAAAGCCAATACGACGACCTCCACAAACAGGATATTACCTTGACAGTAGGGAAACCAGTTCTCCTTGACACCAAACCTTCGCTTCCATATACCGTAAAAAATTTAATCCCACTACTGTGGACCTTTCAAGATCATCAAGATGATGATGCAGTGACCGGCCAACTCCGCCTGCCCGACGATTGGAATACATAATTCCTTCCACATCAGCCTCATTCGTCCTTTTATTACTGACATGTCAAACGTCATCGAACCGGCGAGCCACCGCATATGAATCAACAGTCAGGAGCAACACGTTGACTTTCTGATACGATGGACGCATCGTACTAGCGAGGACGACACGTGGGTTCCCTTGGTACAAGTACAGTTGCCTACTGTACTCAGGGATTATTTATCCCGCAAGCACGTCAGAAATATAGACCACCTTTGCTAGAGGGGGGGGGTAGTGTAAGGAATTTTCCATTCCTTAGGCGCCATACTGCTAATGTTGGCCCAGCCCGCTACCGACTGGGTTAAAAGGGCATGTATTTTGTGGTGGGTAGCGCACCCATTACCCCCCAGGACGAACCTGTAGCCCTCCCGCACTCAACTAGGACGATCCCAGTGCCCCTCCAACAATCTCCCCCTCACTGGGGTCGTCAGGGCACCCGGTATCAGAAACTGAGAACTTGATTGATTGAAATGAGCAAGAGCATACATCCTTAAGTACCGAGCATCGGAGAGGATGGGAAGGGATAAGGGAGAATCGGAGGGAATCCCAAGGGAATCCTCCCAAATCGTGGGGATTTGGGATGGATTGGGTTGGGATAGGTTGGGGATGAAAACATAGCTACACCCAACCTAACAAATATGAGTATCCCTAAAACCAAGAAAGTGTCAACACACAAAATTGTGCCAACCGAATTGCAGCCTATCTCTAACACACCCCCTAGGCTGCAACGTCGGAAGCCGTAGGGACGCCAAGTCCCATGGTACGGAGGAGACGATAGTGATCACGGCGTCCAAGAGCCTTCGTAAACAAGTCGGCGAGGTTGCAGTCAGAGGAAATATGCTTGACGCACAACTGCCCTCGCTGGACGAGCTCGCGCATGAAGAAGTGTCTCAATTCGATGTGCTTGGTTCGTTGGTGGAAGACAGGATCTTTGGTGAGGTGGATAGTGCTCTCGTTATCACACCACAGAGTCGGGGTCTGCTGAGGATACCCGAGCTCAGCCATGAGGTAGGTAAGCCATCGAGCTTCTTGGGCTGCCATGGTGCCTGCGTATAACTCAGCTTCGCAAGATGACAATGAGACGGATGATGAGCGTGTAGATCGCCAGCTGATGACACCACTGCCAAGGGTGAAGCAATAGCCTTGGGAAGAGCGGCGGTCAGCTTGATCATCAGCCCATGAGGAGTCGCTGTATCCCTCGAGGTGAGGAGGGGTCGTGCCACCGAGAGTGAGGACGTAGTCCTTGGTGGCTTGGAGGTAGCGAAGGACGCGCTTAGCAGCCGACCAGTGGCGATTGGTGTATCGACCGGCAGCAACGTAACGCGAGAGCACACTGATGGGGTAGGCGAGGTCGGGCCTTGTGCACATCATCGCATACATGAGTGATCCGACGAGCTCGGGGTATGCCTCATCACAAGGCTCAGGCGATGGAACTGATGGAGTGGTCAGATCATGCTGCAAGGGAAGGGGAGTGGCCACTGGCTTGGCGTTGTCCATGGCAAAACGCTTGAGGACGTTGTTCACATAGAACTCTTGAGAGAGAGTGATGGTTCGAGCTTCGCGATCCCGCGAGATTTCCATCCCAAGGTAGTTCTTGAGTTCACCGAGGTCCTTCATGGCGAGAGCGTCCCCAAGAGCTTGCTTAACAGCTGCCAGCTGATCGGAGTCCTTGGAGACGAGAATCATGTCGTCAACGTAGACAAGGATGAAGAACGGGTTGTCGTTCTTGCGAATGAAGAGACTCGGATCGGCTGAGGAGGGGTGGAAGTCGAGTGACTCGAGGGTTGCCTTCAGCTTCTTGTGCCATTCCCGAGGAGCCTGCTTCAACCCGTAGACTGGTCGATTCAGCTTCCAGACCGTGCCGGGTGGAAAGGGTAAGGGAAATCCTTGAGGACGTTCCATGTAGATGTCCTCGGGGAGATCCCCTTGGAGAAATGCAGCAGAGACGTCCATGGAGTGAACGTCAAAGTTGCATCGAGCAGCGATGTCCAGCAGGGTCCGAAGTGTGGGCAGTTTGGCTGTCGGAGAGAATGTGTCGAAGAAGTCCAGGCCCTTCTTCTGCGTGAAGCCTTTTGCACAGTATCGCGCCTTGAAGACTGGGAGTTCGCCAGGCAGTTGCTTGACGCGAAAAACCCATTTGCCACGGACAATGTTAACTCCTCGCGGAGGGGAGACGTCCGTGAAAGAGTTGTTGCGAATGAATGCTTCACACTCCGCGATCATGGCTGCGAGCCACTGGGGGGAGTGTGGTCCAGAGATGGCTTCATCATATGAGTTCGGGGTCGGGATGGATGGATTTTCCGAGAAGTTAAGAGTTGGAGCGTCGGCAAGGTCGGGGAAGAGATGGCAGAGCTGACGGATGGCAGCATTGATCTCAATCAGCTCCTCATGCCTATCCTCCAAGAGGCCAGGCATGGATGCACCCCCGGCAGGAGGAGGCGGATTGAGGGAGATGCGAACAGAGAGGGCGAGAGGCGGAGCGGGACCATGAGAGCGGGTGCGGTGAGCAATAGGGACAGGAGAGGAGGGAGGTGGCGGGGGAGCAGGTGGGACATCGACATAAGAGCGTCCGTGGCGACGGCGACGATAGGTGATGGGCGAGTCGGGAGGAGAGGTGGAGGTTGGAGGCGGAAGCGGAGGTGAAGGCGGGGAGGGAGGCGCGGGGGCAGGGGGAGCCACAGAAGGAGAGGGAGGTGGAGGGGCAGCTGCAGGAGCGGGTGCAGGGGGAAGTGCAGGCGCGGGCGGAGGTGAACGGGCAACTGAGCCAGTGGGCGAAGAGGGGTGAGAGAGAGTGGAAGGAGATGGGGAAGGTGAGAGTGAGGGGGCCGCAGGAGCGGCAGAGGGAGGAGGTGGGGTGGGTGAAGTATCGAAATCAGCCCACACAAGCGAAGGTGGAGCGGTGGGGGGTGGTGAAGAGAGGTAAAAAGGGCGACTCTCGTCAAAGGCGACATCGCGGCTACGAATGAGCTGATTGGTGGAGAGATTGAGGAAAAGGTAATCGGGAGAGTCCAGGTTGTGGCCGAGGTAGACACAGGGTTGAGCTTTGGGTGCAAATTTGCCGCCGTGGGTGCGACGTTCCTGAGGGTTGAGGAGGACATAAGCTGTACACCCCCATACGCGGAGAGGACGTGCACTGGGCTTGGTGCCGGTCCACAGTTCAGCGGGAGTGATGGCAGGCCGAAGAGGGTGAGGGTGAAGGTTGTACAGCAGCGTGGCATGAAGGAGGGCGTAACCCCAAAGGGAAGGTGGTGCACCAGCGTGAGTGAGAAGACAGCGAGCGATTTGCACGAGAGTGCGATTGCGACTTTCGGCAATGCCATTCTGCTGCGGACTGTGGGG